GACCATCGCTATCCCACATCCCTGGCCAGCATCCCTGGGCTGGAGCCATTTTGGTTAAAATGCGGCAGGTGGAAGGGGCCGCGAGGGCATCCGGCCAGGGCTCCCAGTGGGAGACTGCCCGCGGGGCCATTTCCACAGCGTGTCCACCACACTCCTGCTGTGGGTGGGCAGAGCAAGAGACCAAAGCTCCTGAGGCCCTGGTTGTCCCGCCCCAAAGGCCAGCTGAACCGTGGTGCCAGCCTCAGATCTGGCGCAGGAGAGACAGGCGGGCGAGGTCCCAGCTTAGGAGAGGGCTGGGAGGCCAGAGAGAGCCGGGTGGGGAGCAGGGGGCCCAGCACCAAGAGGGCCTCTCAGTGACCCCGACCGCGGGAAGCAGGCCGAGGAGGCGGCGGGCACTGCTCCCCTCCCCGGGGCCTGGCATCAGGGCGCTTGCCCGGCCGCCCTTTCCTCAGAGCCGGCTTGTTTCTAAACTATGACAGTGTTTCCCCAAATGCCCCCAAAGGGCTCCTGCTGAGAAGCTGTAGTAAATTATATGATCAAATCTATTCAGGGAATAACGCATCTCCCGTTAGAGATGTTTAAAAAATTCATAAAGGCGTAAAGACAGCGAGGACTCTGCATAATTCAGCACTTCCACTTATCCCGCTACGAGGGATAAGGACTGTCAGGAAAACAAGGGTCCGCCGTGGCCGGTAGTGTTGATTCGTCTCCAGTAACGGCAAAGCTGAACAGAGGGCACACAGGGAGAGAGACTGCTTCTCGCATGACCGGAAGTCCTGGGCGGCCCTGACCTTGGCCTGGCTGCTCCATTGGTGAGGACCACTGTCTCTGAATGTCCTGGAGCCTCCCTCATGACTACAAAATGGCCTCCGCACACCCACCACCTCATGTTGTCCACTTGCGAGGCACCATGGGGCATGGAAGGTGAGGTGCAGTGTGGCAACTTCTTATGTCCCAGGGGACACAGGGCCACTTGGCCATGCTGGCTGCAGAGTGGAGGAGATGAGGGTGAAGGGATAGGGCTTGGGTGTGAGGCACCCTCGGGTGTGGAGGGTGTGCAGGGCTGGCAGCCCAGACGTCTCGGCCAAGTGCCGGTGTTGATGTGGAGTGCCGCCTGACTTGCTGCATGTATTCACGTGCAGTCCAGCATGCGCCTTGGGCAGGACTGGCATCTGGGGACGCAGAGTGCACTAGTGGCACTAGTGGACGAATGCAGGGCGTGGCGGAGGCCTGAAGCTCCCAGGATGAGTCCCGCAGCTGTTCTGGCAGGAGACAGCAGGGTGTGGCAGCCATCAGGAGCCTCTGCACGGTGCAGCACAGGGCACCCAGCGGCCACCTGGCCCAGTGACCGGCCTTGACAAGAGGCGTGATATTAGCATGATGCCCGCCGACAGGAAGGATGTCACGGCAGTTCAGAAAGTCGTCTCGAGACGCCTTGCCCCCCTGGGTGCCTGCCTCCTGCCCGCCCCCCAGTGGTCTCGCCAAGATGACGGCAGCCACAGTGGCTCGGTGCCCTTGCAGTGGGTCCTGGCCAGCCAGTGACAGAGGGTGCAGAATGGGTGCCAAGAGAGCGTAGCCCTGCAGGAGCACCGGCTCCCTCAGCAAGCTCTCCTCTGCGCTGGCCCTCCGTGGCCCACACCAGGGCCGCGATGCGGAGCGTGTAAAAGGCAGCCCAGGGGCTCGTGCATCCAGCTGCCAGTGTGGAGGCCCAAGGCAGGCAGTGTGGAGGCCGACAGGGTGGAGGCCAGGCAGACTGCGAGCAGCGAAGCGTCACAGAGGAGTGCTGCCCCGCAGACACAGCTCTGAAAACACCCTCACAGCCCTGGCAAGGGAAATGCTCCTGGAACTCAGAGCAAGAGGCCCGAGTGGTGATCTCCTTTGTTCTCAGTGAGTTACTGCAGTTTGTGTTACAGCAGCCCAGTTCAACCAGCGACTCAGTGCTTGTTAGAGAGCACGTACAGCTGCCCTTGCCACGGAGGGAGCAAGGTGTCCTGCACAGGAGTGCTGTCTTTCCTTTGAATGGCTCCGGCTGCCTGGGCGGCCCTCTCACGGCCTCCTCCCCTGGCCACACGAGGACCTCAGTGCACCACCACCTGGACTTGCTTTTGCTGGGGCTGGGCCTGGGGGGCTCCCTGGAGCGCAGCCTCACTGCAGCTCACACTCGCCCCCCAGGCCCAGAGAGGCGGAGGGTGAGTGGTGCGTCCTTCACTAGGTCATTGAGTGCCAGCAGGGATGGGGGAGGGCCTAACTCCTGTGGACTTCTGGGCCCAGACTCCGAGGCCCCTGGAGCACATTCCCCAGGCCTTGTAAAACCGCCACCAGGTGAAATCAGGTCTAGGTTGTAGAAGTCAATTCAGGGTAGGAGATAAGGCCCTGCTGAACCTCCCGGTGCAGAGGGGACATTGGGCTCCGGGCAGTCACTGAGGACTCTCTGACTGGCGGCTTCTCCCGTGTGCATGCTGCTCCTTTGAGTTGCCCAGCACTTGAAGGTGGGAATGCGGAGAGCGAAACCCCTCTTCCGACAGCATTTCACAGAGTTCCTGCCACTCAGCATGCTCGCCGTGTGGAAGGAGGGATGACGTAGGGATAAATATTTTATTTATTTCTCAACAGAATAGAGTGTATGGAATGAGAAATGGGTGAGAAGTATGAGAGGGTGCAGCAGAGGAGAGAGGAGGTGCAAGCTGCCATGTAAGGGCACAGCCGAGGTCCACTCTGACCTCCATGCCACCCTTGTGGCTTTCAGATCCTACCTCCTCCTTCTTGATGGCAGAAGGTAAAATCAAGCCCCTCCCACCTGCTGTCCTAACTGCCTGCTCCCCTCCCTGGGTGCACCCAAGAGCACGCCCCCTTCTCAAGGGACCTGGTTGGGTGGGGGCCATAACCGTAAAAGGCATTTTAAGAGGATGTATTTTTATTCCCTTTTCTACCTTTATACACAAACGGGAGCCTCTGAGAGACATTATGTCCTGCCAGAGAATTTATTTCTGAGCCCTTGAGAACCATCATCTCTTCATTTCATCGTGACTATATGGGTTAATGTCCTCGAATGCATATGCTGTAAGGCATCTAATCAAGTCTCTGCTGATTAGTTTTCCATTTTGAAATTTTAAAAAGTAGTGGTGGCTGGAAGTTTGCAGCATTTTAAAGTATATTGCCGGTCCACTCCCTGCACAAGTGGTCCTGATGTCCCGTCCATGCAGCTGTAGGAGGGTGGAGGGCCGTCCATGCCTTTCCAAGAGCAGGTAACCATGCCTCCTCTCTGGGGCTGTAATTAGCGATTCTCTGAGCTGAGCACCATTTGAGAGGACTCATTCAGGTTTCTTGTTCTATGACCTGAGCACTTACCGACTCTGAACATTTCCTGTTGAGTTGGAGATCTCTTTTTTAAAAAAATTGATTTGTGAGAGCTCTATCTGAAGAAAATTAACTTTTCTTTTGTAATCTAAATTGCAAATATGTTTCAAAATCAACCTTTGCCTTTTTTGTTTTGTTTGGGGTGGAATACTTCATTCAAAAAAGTTTTATACTTGGAAATCAAGTTGATGAGCCTTTTACCAGTTTTTGTCAAGTTAAAAGAAAATTGGTTTGTTGGCTATTTTGGAACTGATGGCAGTCTGAAGTAAGAATGGTTGTATTTATAACCAGAGAAAATGAAGTGATGTCAAGGAAAGGGAAGTGAGGTGCGGACACAGTGATTGGTTACAATTGGCGTCTATCATAGTTGAACACAGTGGGTCAGCTTCTGATTGGCTGAGACGGCTTATTAGAGGAGTAGATTACGGTCTGTTCACACACCAAGTTAGCTACAGTCCACAATTCATGGAGAAAGTTTTAGACCCCTCTTAACTTAGGTACAGAGGCAGCTTTAGGCCAAAGAAGTCAATTTAACAAAGAACTTACTTTGACCTCATTTTAAACTGTCTTGTGGCTCACCTCTTAGCTTTGGGACTCGGTCTGTTGGGTCTGTGATTCTGACCCTCTTGGGATTGCACCTGGTGAGAGGTGGGCCTGCTGGCTTCCCGTTGTCTGACCTCAGAGGTGGTCTTTCCTTCACTTATGGAAATGACACCTTTGTCCTGCTCTAAATTCTAATACGTACTTGGGTCTGTCTCTACAGTTTCAAAACTGTCACCTACCTCCTGTGCAGGTGCCACCCACAGAACTGGTCACCAAAACTTCCTGGTATGTTTGACTCTCATCATCCTTGATTTTTTGTTTGTTTGTTTTTAATTTTTTTAATGATATTCTTAGCTAATCTCAGGTGTTTATTTCCTCACACAAATTAGCTTATCTTGTCCACCCCCCCCAGAAAAAGAATCTTATGGTATTTTGTAAAATTTACCCATAAGTAGGCATCTCTATAATTTATGCATTTCCTATATAAATGCACTTTTCATGTATTCAATTACTTTAATCCTAAGGAGCATTAAAACCACTTCTTGTAAATTGTTCCTATGCTTTTTATTGCTTTTGTTTTTCTGTCATGTGGGGTCTCCTGTTGTTTCCTTGAGCCACTGAGCATACCTTCTGCTTCTAGCCATGCCGGGAGGTGCCGCTGAGGGCCAGCCAGTCCAGATCTCAAGAACAGTGGTGGTTTCGCCACCTTTCACGCCCTTGCATTTTCTGAATAGTGGTGCCAGGATGCAGCCAGGGCCCTGTGCACACCAGGCCAGCGCCAGGCCAGGCTCTGCTCCGAGCCACGCCCTTGTCTTCAACTTCTCTCGAAGCTGCCTGGGCAAATCTTCCCTCTGGTGGGGCTGTGGACTTGTGGGGCCTGCCCTGGATGCTTTCCTCTTTCTCAGGCGGGCCCTGCAGCCATCCCAACAGCCAGGGAGGTTGCTGTTCACACCGCAGGTGTTCCAGAGGCACCTTTATCCCTAGAGATAAGGCTCTTGCTCCCTGGGGGCGGAGGGAGCTCCACCTCTCTTTAGGGAAGAAGGGCAGCATCTGTCACTGACACTCCTCTCTGACTCTCTCCCCTGCTGTCTCCTCCACAGGCCTGCAATCACCGTCAACTCACAGGGCCAGCCCAGAGAAACTGACCTGGCTGTGGCCAAGCCGCACAGGGGTCCAGACGTGTGGGGCCGAGGGCCAGCTGTCAGGCCCCATCGCCAGAACGGAAAGCATCTCCTCCCTGTCTCCCTGGTCCTCATCGGCCACACCAGATCCAGGAGTTGGCGCCCATTCCCGAGACCTGTGTCCCCTCCCTGGAGGTGCTGGGGTCTAAGCAGCGTGTCATTTCCTGTGGTTTCCAGCCACTTGTACCCAGTGCCCACTGGTTCCCCCCACTGCTGGGACGCAGTTGGGCCTCTCTGACTGGGCTCTGCAGCCTGGAGGCCTCCCAGTGACTCTACTTCCCACGCCGGGTTCCCAGGCCTGCTCCCCGGTGGGCCTCCCAGAGGCCAGGCTGGCTGGCCATCTCCGACTTCAGGCCCCTGTGTTCTCCCTGCGGTCGTTCTTAGGGCTGCAGGGACAGTGAAGGCTGTTCAGACACTTCCTGGAAAGGCTTCTCGCAGTGAAGAGCAAAGCCACCTTGAGCTCAGCCAGACGTGTCTGCACACACAGCCAGCAGAGCGCAGCCCTGGGGGGCCAGCCCTGCCCAAGCACAGGGCTTTGCCTCAGAGCACTGTGTGGCCACTCACTCTCCAGACACCAGAACCATCCCGAGGCGCTTGGGAGGCAGGGCTTCAGCTCACTGTGAGGTCGGCGGGAGGGAGCTGACCTCTGTCCCACAGATGACAGCAGTAAAGTCACCACAAGTGCCCGATGTCCTTAGAATACCATGTGTCCATGGCCGCCAGTGCACTGGGCCGCAGGAGGGGTTCTCCCACCAGTGTGGGTTCCCGTCTCCTGAAGATGGAGCTCAGCCAGCGGCCAGAGGAACCGCAGGAGGGAGTCTTCCCTGCAGGGGCAGGGCTGGCGCACGTGGGGCGCCCTTCTGGAGACAGCAGGACCGCTACAGAGGGACGGTGGCTGGAGTCATGGAAACACCGTGAGCTGGGACTCGCGGCCCAGCAGGCTCCATCTCTGCACAAAGCCCTGACGGCTCTTCCGGGGCAGATGCCACTGAAGCAAGTTGCCCGTCGCTCCGTGAGGCTCTAAGGGGCCTAGAGTAGGAGAGTGGAGCCCGCAGGGGCTGGGGAAGGAGCCCCCTGGCCTGCGCCAGGCGCCCGCCCACAGTGGGCAGGGCACCGTCCCCTGGACTCTGCCGCCTGGACTCCTGCTCCCCGGCCACAGGCGCCCTCTCTTCCAGCCCTCTTCATGCCCTCCTGTCATCTTGGGGTCCTGTTCCGTGTTTTAAAGTCTACTTTTCCTCCCATAACCCAGGCCAGTTCCTGGGGTTGGAGCCTGGAGCCCACCATTGCCGGGTGCCTCTCCCTGAGAAGAGCCCGTCCCGACTCCGGCTCACGCACTGGAGCCTCCAGGACACCTTCTCCCTCCCGCTACATTCTGAGGAAATGGGGGGAGTGAAGTCCTGGGTGGAGGTCCAGGGAAGTGACCTGTGGGCGCAGAGACCACTGGCGGCAGAGCCCTGTGGACTTCTCCTTGCCCTCCCCTGGGACAATGCCAGGATGGACATTCGCAGAGTCCATGTGGATTACAAATGTCACTGGTCAAGAGGAAGAGACACTTGAGCCAGGGACTTCTCTGCGGCTCTGGGCCGACGGCCACCGGGAGCCCTGAAGAGCGGTTGGGCCTCCAGCAGGTAAGGCTTGGTGCTCTGGGGGAGGTGGGTCTCACCGGCGTGTGGCAGTGCTGGAAGGTTCGATGCCGTGCTTGCTTCTGTGTGGACAGGATCCTGTGTTGAGGTGGGGTTCGCCTCCAGAGCTGGTGTTGCAGATGTTGGCTGTCTCTGTTCCTTCAGTCTCCTCGTGGTTAGGGCGAAGATTGCTCAGGTTGATGCAGTGTGATCCGCAGGGGGAGACGGGGACATCAACCAGGAAAAGAGCCACCAGGCCTAGGAAAAAATTGGCTGGTAAAAAAAGAATATATCACAAATCGAATCCAATTGGCTTTTGAAATGTCTGCAGTAGAGGCGAAAAGCTGGGCTAACTCTGTGCTTTCTTTGGCCTAAGAAAGAATAATAAAGTGCTCAAAAGGTTTGAAATCCACACAAGGTCAGTGGACAATGTGGAAGGGCCTCCCCGAAGAAGTGGGGGACGTGGGGATCCATGCCGTGGGCTGGGCACTCCACAGGACGCCGAGGTCATCCTGGTGCCCACTCCTGGGCTCTCTCTGGTTGGGGGGTCAAGGTGCAAGGCCCAGGGCAGCCGCACAGGTCAGGAGAGTGGAGGGCAGGGAGCCTTCTCCGTGAGTAAAGGCCAGGCGTAAACCTCCACTGGCAGGAACTGGTCACCCTCTCCAGGCCTGAGTCCCCCTCCAGGTGACAAAACAGTGTTCAAAAGTCAAAACAAAATCTTTGGCTGAAAGATGCGGGGTACCCAGGACAGGCAAGGCTGTGGTGCTCAGAGTGAGCCTCACTGAGGTCGAGGGTCGCCCGAACCTGCAACCTTTGACCCTGAAGCCTCTCTCGGGCACCTTTCCTAAGGGAACACACTGGATAGCACACGCACCACCTGCACGCCCCCATGACTATAGCAGACAGGAGTGGAGCAGGCCTGCAGGGTCCTGTAGGGGTGGGCGCGGGCCTGTGGGAACGTGCCCGGAGCTGTTAGACAATAGGGGATGGTTAAGGACCAGCACGGACGTGCACACGTGGCACACACACTCTGCACGTGTGTGCAAAAGAATCCCACAAAGAGGAGAGCTGGAGGGGAGGCACCTCACGTGGTCAGGTGTGAAGCTGGTCAGGACAGCCTCTGACGTGTGGAGCCTGGCTGGCCTTTCCTTCTGGGCCCCTAGGCTTTCTGCCTTGGGTAGCAAGATTGCTGCCCCTGTGCCACGTCCCCGTGGGGTGGGGCAGTCGGCGGGCTGGGACAGCTCGCGGGCTACGTAAGACTCTGACTCTGCTGGCCCTGGAGCAGGCTGCCCTGCAAGTGGGGCCAGGGGCCTGGCTAAGGCTCCCAGCCACTGCAGAAGGACCTGGGACTTCAGAGGAGGACCGCAGGGTACCCCTGAACAAGAGCGGTAGAGGGAGAAACGCAGGAAGGGGTTTCTTTGTACTCATTGTGCTTGTGAATCGTCCGGGCTCTGCTCTCCAGCCCGCGGGGCTGTGTCCCCCATCGGCCCTGGACAGTCTCTGCGGCACCTCCCTGAGCACCCCGACGGCTGCTTCTGGGCGGGGCCTGTCTGCTCGGTCCTCCTCGGTATTTTCTACTGTTGTTTCTCTGCTGCATTCCACATAATTTTCAGACCTGTCTCTTCTTTCTCTTTCTTCCACTGAACTTAGCTGCTTTTAACCCATCTAATAAGCTTTTAATCGCCACACCCTCTGTCAGAAGTCCTGTTTGCTTGTTTTCCAATCTTCGGCCCCTGTCTTTGCACCCCTGTTTTTCACCCTTTACCTAAACAGGAAGACGGACTGTGTGGTGTGTCCCGTGATGCCAGCACCTCAGCTCTGTGGCCGCCTTGCCCGTTGGATGCTCTGCGGACGCTGCCCTGTGCTGAAGTTCCTTCTGGCGGGCGGCTCATTTCCCCAGTCCTTTCCCTGGACACATGGTGAAAAGTGACATCATCGTCACACCTGTGTCTCCACATAATTCCCTGGAAGTGGTGTTGCAGGGATCCAGGAAAGACCGTGAGGGTGACGTGATTGCACTCCGCTGGCAGCGAGGGCGAGAGAGGTGCACGCAGCCCGCTCCCCCACCCGGCTTGCCTGCGTGCCTGCACAAGTGTGGTCTGAATTTGGCTTCTCTTGCTGTAATGCGGCTGGGCTTCTTTCCCTACGTGAGAGCGATCTGTGTGCGCTGTCTCTTAAACACGGTGGAGATGGCCACCTTGGGCGCACGCCCTTCACTGTGGTCAGCACAAGGCCAGTGCGTTCTTGTCCCGAACCAGATGATGTCTTAGCCACTTTGCAGGCGTGAGCTGAAGGATCCTCCTGGTATTCTCAGGGGACAGTGTTCTCAAGGGGTGGAGTTGTGCCCCCAAAGAACACTGAGAGGTGGTGCACGCTGTACCCTTTGCCTTTCCCAGGAATCCACCATTAACGATGTGGTTGGCTATTGGTTGATGTGGTCGGTCTTTATTAGAGGAAATGTTTCCATCTTTAGTTTCCTAAAAACATCTTTTGATCAGGAAACATCTTGTTTTCCTCAAAAATCATGAAATCAGAGTCAGGATTAGTCCCGCATTAGTGCCGAGTCCGTCTCCTGTGGGTGGCTGGGCTCGGCCCCGGCTCAGATGGCTTTGGTGCTTACCCCCGTCCCTTGCAGACCCTGCGCCTTGTTCCAAGGCCACTACTTGGATCCCTCTTTGGGGCAGCTAGTCTGCATTTGAGGGTTCTCAGGACGTAAGAATGTCTTCCTGTCGCTGTCACCATAAACGGAACTCAGCTGACAGTGACTTCTCAGCCTCCAGTGTATAAACCGAGTACCCCACAGTTGTCCCTTATCACGTGCTCAGGTCCCGCAGCGTGGCCTCTCTTCCTCTAACATTTATAGACATGTTCTTGGTTCTGTGAACACCAAAGACTCCCCTGGTCAGCTCTGTGTGGTCACAGTCTCCCCTCTGCTTGGCACGTGGATCCGTTCAAACCACAGACTCGACTGTGACTTCCCGAGGTCACACAGCCACTCTGGTCTCTCCTGAGCTGGCCTGCTCCGTTCCTGAGAGACCCTGCCGCCCAGTGTCCACTTCTGTGGGGCTTCCCGGAGCCTCGCCTTCTCTCGGGGCTCTCCTGCCCCATTTCCCGGCCTCCACCACCACATTGCTGAGCCCGTTTTCTGCAGATCTGTCTGCCTTTTCCATCCCAGCACTGTGTGGCTTTCCGCTGTGGCCATCTTTCCTTCTTCTCCCCACGGCAGTTCCGGCCACCACTGAATCTTGTGGCCATCCGGTCACCACGTCTTTCAGCTCCAGACCGCAGACCTCACGTCCTCTGGGCTTATCACATTTCCTTCTTCATCCCACAGTTGATTTTTTTTTTCAAAACTATGTTAATCTCCCTAAAATACTAGGTCCCACCTTTTACATAAAAACATTCCCGTAGACGCCACCTGAGGATCTGGTTCTGTTTCCTGTGCAGGTGACCCTTCACATCTGGGGGTGTGGTGTCCGAGGGTGAGCACCTTCAGTCATGTCCACGCTGAGTGTGTGCAGACTTTTTGTGTCTTTGTTCCCTAAACGATACAGTGTAGCAGTTACTTGTAAACCTTTTACAGCCTTCACCCGCATCTGGAGATGATCTAAGAGTTCAGGATTAAGCCTCGGGCAGATAGCGCGTGCTGCTCTGAGCAGCCTGTGGCCTGTTCTTCACAGCTGCATCACATGACAAGGTGTCTTCTCTGCTGGGCAACCTCACAGTGGCTACTGGTGGCCTCTTCCTTCTCAGAACGGTTTTGGGGTCATCCATCCTTCTACCAGATGTGCTGCGCCTGCTCCTTCTCTACTGTCCCCTGCAGACGGTGCTTCTCTGGGAACATCCCTGTCCATCTGAAAGGATGTCAGCAGGATGTGTGTCCCCACGCCTGTTCCTGGGCCTCCTCCGAGGCCTGGGCAGGCCTTCCTGGTTCCGAGACGTTCTGAAGGAAGCTGGGCTCTGGGCATTCTCCAGGCTCCACCCCACAGTTGCTCTTTTGTCTCATGGTGTTGCTCTGTACTCTCCTCAAGAGAGCAAGCCTGGTGTCCGTGGAGTACCAACTGTGCTGGCTCAGGCACGTGTTTGCAGGGCTTTGAATTCTCCCACTGACGTCATGCAAAACAGAGCAGCCCTCCCTCCAGGGTTGTGGAGAAGCATCTTAGATCCCTCTGACGTCCAGAGCTGAGAGCCCTGGTCCATGCAGCCCCTGCTTCCAAGCCCTCGCTGACCTGGAGGCCCCAGAGGCCGAGGAGTGGGACCCTCAGCAGAGCCGAGAGCCCAGCAGGTCTGGGAGCCTCCGGAAGGCTTCCTGGGCTGCAGAGAGTAAGCTGTGGCTCCAGGGTCACTGCAGCCGGAGGAGCAGAGCACCCAGAGGAAGAGGGACCCCAGGGCTCTTCCTCCTGAGGAGTTGCTGATGCAAAGTAGGGCAGGCCTTCACCAGCTCCTCAGTTGTTCTAAGATCCTGAGTTGGAAGATCCCTCTTTCTCTCTCTGAATGGGGATGAACTCACGGAAATACACACACCTTTAAGTTGGGAAGGAAGGTCTCAGAGAGGGGGCTTGCTGTAGCAGCCCTTACGCTGAGCGCACAGCATCCACAGGCATTTGTCTGCACACGGGTGCCCGGGGTGCACAGGGCCGGGAAGATTCGCGGCTGCTCATTCCAGGTGGTGGTCAGTCGCCGCCCACAGAGCTGGCAATTCACGTGGTTCCCTGCAGTCACACCTGCAGCTGGCAGAGACCTGCAGGCACTCTGCACTGGAGACCATGTCCCAGCTCTCCTGTGCCCACCTCTGCCTGGGGGCGAGAAGCCAGTGGGCCCCGGGGGAGCTCCTGCCACTGTGCTCACGAGGGCTGGGGCCTGCTCACAGGCTTCTCCCTGGCCACCTGCAGGCTCAGCACCCGGCCATCACTCAGGGCTTCTAGCAGGATGGGCGCCAAAGCAGGTGTCCGAAGGCCGTTCCTGAATCACAAAGCATTAATGGGTTGTGTCTAGGGCCAGGGCGA